TTTGTGCACGCTCATTCCATAAAGCCCCAGCTCGTGTGCGCGCATGTTGAAACAAATAAACAAATTATAATAATATAGTAGTAACACAAGGTTTCTATAAAAAATGCATTCAAACTTACAACAAATGTATACATTTAGAATCTACTGTTTTTTCTCTTTTCACTCACATTTATGCAGTGTTTTAGTGCCCCCTAACGGCTCTCAAACAACATAGCGTCTACTAACACGGCTCAATATGGCACTTCTTATTGATAAGTGTAAATAATTTATACTTTGGGTTTTTTTTAAATAAAATAAAAAACATTATTTGCAATTGGTCTTTGCCTCGTTTGTGGTCACGTGGCGGGAATCCACCGCTCACAGAAGTCCGTGTGTCCCTGTCACTCAAACACACTGAGTGTGATAAAATCGTACGGTGTCTCTCACTTCAATCTGCTTCACTGAAAACAGATGATCGCTGTCACGTTGGTCCAACAGCCGTTAGAAATATGTGTGTGTGTGTGTGTGTGTGTGGCACAGTTTATCAACCGCAGCCTCTCTCCTGCTACCTGTTCCTCTGCCCTCTCTCCACTGGACCTGCGGTGATGGACGACAGTGAGGGTCACATCACTCTGCACTGCTGCTGCTGTTACCCTGACACCGGCTGCGAGAGCCCGCAGAAGCAATTACTCTCTTAATCCGGCTGCAGACCCACAGGTCACAGAAAGATATTAGAGGAGGGAAAATATTACAGAAAAACATTTGTGTATTTTGTTCGTGGTTCAGCTAGAATAGACTATTTTATTTGAAACTATTATTATTGTTAAGGGGAGAAGAGAAAACAATAACATTTAATAAGGATTTACGGATTGGCGCCCTTGCGTTAATGCAACAGTAATTTTTTACCTATTTGTACGAACTTGTTTATCTATTTCAAAAGTGTTCACTATCGACAATCACGTCGCAGTGTGAATAACTTTAAAATAATCTGTAAAACCATCTTATTTGTCCCACTTCCGGTTTCAATTCCTACAGTTCCTCCTACTACAGTATATTTCCCATCTGCGCCCTTTCCTCGTAGCCTCCCCTTATTGTATGTTAATGTGATGACCGAACTGTCAATCACTAAAACCAACCAATCACAAGACAGAGCGAGGCCAAAGAGGCGGAGTAAAACGCAAACGTAAAGGATTTGATATCCGGAGAGGAACGTCTCACGGTAACGGTCTCTGTCTCGACACCAGCTGGTCTTATTACTTTTTTTGTCTCTTTAAATACTTGAATAAGTTTAAGAAGACGAAGATTCTCTTCCTTCACTACAGGTATTCATTGGTTTAACAGCTGCTTTTTTATCGGTATAAGCGACACGTCGGAGGGTTAGGGTCGATTCAAACATGCTATCACTGAAAACCGTAATATGTGGTTAAGACACTGTGTAACTAACATGTTAATACGAGGTAAAAACGTGTCAGAGAAAACAAGCTGCCGAATGATGATGTCATACATGTGTTTGTTTAACAGATTTTTACAAACAAAAAACAAAGAAAGAAGAACAACCTGCTGCTCACCATGGCAGTGGAAGGATGCGGCGTCGCCTGTAAATATATCCTCATCGTTTTCAACATCATCTTTGCCGTAAGTATTTATTTATGATTCAGGCGGACGTGAAAACAGAATTCGTGGGTTTATGTTTATGTTGACGAATAAAAGTAAAAGTGTAATGTCAGGTCACGTTCATTTTTTTTCTCTTTCATTTCCGTTTTCGTTTCCTCCAATGAACTTCTTGTTGCGGTTGTGCTGTGGTTTTTATGAACGTGTGCTCTTCGATTACTATTATTATTATTATTGTAACTCTTTCTAAATTCTGATGATCTTAGCTCTTTTCAAATGTATTTTTCTCCCAAAGAAACAACTCAAATGTTTTGATGTTTCCCAACAAGGAACAGCATGAAACCCACTGTAAAAACAGAGAGAAAAAATAGTTGTTTGTTTACATCATGAACCTTTATAATAATTCTATACTTTGTTTAATTTAATGATGCGTTTTGACTGTTGATTTTATTCTGTGTATTGCAGGTTCTGGGTTTTGCCTTCCTGGGTCTCGGTTTGTGGCTGAGGTTCGGTGTTGGGACAGGAAACACCTTTGAATCAGGGTCACAAGACTTAAGTATATATTTTGTAGGTGAGTTGAATGATTTTTGTTTGTTTTTCTCACTGGAATATTATGAGAAACAGAGAAACAGTTATGTAACAATTATTAATTATATTTATTTATGAACATCTTTGACAAGGGCTTAGTGAGGCATTAAAAAAAAAGGGTAAAAACTTAACAAACACTTTAGAAAATAATTCATGAGACCGGGGACGTCTGGATGCAGAGTCACTAAAATCTACTTTCTGGATCAGGCGCGACGGTCCTGATGACTCTGGGCGCCGTGTTGTTGATGGTGGTGGTGTTTGGAGATTATGGCGCCTGCAATGAAAAACAGTGTCCACTGATCGTGGTAAGATGTGCTTGGATAATATGAAATTTTTCTCATAACGTTTTCTCATTTTTTGTTCTTGTTTTTCTGTCAAAGAGTTCATCACAAGAACAACTTCCAGTTTTTTTCTGTCTTTTCTTTGTGAGATTGTGACATTCTTCATCTGTTAGATACAGAACAGATGGCTACAGTATGAAGGCCTGGGTGTGTGTGAATGTGTGTGTGTGTCACAGGAACTGACTGACCATGACACACTGCTCATGTCAACGTTTAGCCAACTCCTATAAGGATAAGTCCAAATGAAAATGTTGTCATCGGGATCTTAGAAGGGAGGTTAAAACAACTGCCCAGACTCTAGAAAATGACTTTGTTCCATCTTGAATTATAACCTCAGCTTTACTGAGAAATGACCGGCAAGATAGCTTTTAGTACACAAGAACTCCACCGTTGCTAAGGCGACGCCAACAAGCCTTTTAAAACGCTCGACGACCAGAACAAGCTGGAGATGGATGACGCAGACAGAGACGTCTCTGAGTCCAATGAAACAAAAACCACAGCATTTGACATAAAAAGATTTTTGTAAATAGAACCCTTTGGTCTCCCTGTGGTTTGGAAACGCAGAACAATGTCATGGTGTGGTTTCATCTCCATGCAGTGTGTACTACATTTAGAGTTGGTTCATTTATAGTAATGGATGTTTGTTGCCTCCTTTTAACCTCGCCTCAGTTCTGCGCCCTGCTGGTCGCTCTGGCTGCAGCCATGGTCGTGTTTGGAGCGCTGGCTTACACCAGAAGACAGGAGGTAAAAAAAAAAGATCACAGAACCAGTGACTGGGAGGGGAGGTGTTCTTGTTTTTATAAACGTGTCTGTTTTGAACTCTCCAGGTTGGCGACGGTCTTGTAGAGTTCTACACCGGCATGTACAATCAGTATGCAAACGATGGAGACCCTGCCATCGGCGTCACGCTCACAGCTGTTCACAACATGGTAATCTTACGACTTTCTTTGTTGTTTTTTGTTGCATTTTTTTTTAGAATTTTTAAATATTTATCTTATTTATGTATTTATATATTTACGTCTCTGTAGCTGAACTGCTGTGGAGTTTCTGGGATGCCACCAGTAGATATGGATAAACAGACGTGCTCAGATGTAAGTACATGGACCCTGTGGACGTCGGTCATTTCATGTATATATTCAGACGTATAAGCCGCAGTACTCCTTCCAACCTGTAGTTACTAGATGATTGTCATGAATAAACCAACATATTGACGACAAGATTGAAGACATTGAAGACAACATATTGTCTTGCTCTTACAGAAATGTTCTCAGAAGATCATCGGCGCCTTCAACAGCTACTCTCCTCTGACGATGGGCATCTTCCTCGGAACTGGAGCTCTCCTGGTTCGTAGCCCGTCCACACAAATCTGTGTTTAAAGAGACTGCAGTTAAAACAAACCTCCGTATATCACCGTGCCTGTAGTATCGCAGTATGTCACAGTATATCGTGTCGATGTATCGTATCTCCAGAGTCCTGTCCCTACAGTAGAAACTACTTTGACTTGTTCCTCTGTCACAGTAATAATAATAACCTGGTTTCTCCTCATAGGTTTGAGCTTCATTTTACAACAGATTAAAAAAAATCCTTCTTTTTTTTTTTTCATTTTAACACCAGCCTCTCGGCCTGTGACTGTTGTCATGGCTGGGTGCAGCTGTTTTCTTAAAGCCAGCTCACTGTGTGGCTGCTGCTTTAATCCTGTAGGTCGTGCAAAAAAATCCTTCTTTTTCTTTTTTTTCTTTTCTTTTTTTTTCTTTGACAGCGCAGCTTTGTTCCATCCCTTCTCATTTTTTTATTTATTTCCACTCCCTTTTTTCTCCGTCTCTACCACAGATCACCGCCCTGGTTTGTGCCGTGATCCTCCTGATACAGATCAAGAGAGTCAATCAGGAGGTCAGTGAGTACTACTCGGCCGTGTACTGAGGAGTACACCTTCTACTGGAGAGCGGAGGCTCGTTTCCATCTGTGTGTGTGTCGACTACTGATCACAGTGAATTCCGATGACGTTTATTGTTATGTTTTTTTTATCTTATGAACTACTTTACACTCAGCCCAGCCCTGAAATCTAATCTGCAGAGCGACAACTTTCTCCGTCGTAAAAGTACTCATTACTGCAGCTCTCTGTGAAATGGATGTTGCCTGTTATAAACCATTATTCATACAGCTATAAACACACAGCCAGGCGAGAGCGTGTGTGTGTGTGTGTGTGAAGGCCTGTGGATCACTGTGGGCGTGTGATAAGTAACCTGTCAATGCCGACAACAAAACAACTTAATGATAGACTGAGCGGAGATGAGCTGCAGGGCTGAGGATTTCCATTTATGATGAGTGTGTGTGTGCGTGTGTGTGTGTGTGTGGCGGCTGCAGCCACGACAACGAGAGCTGATGCAATTATTTGCACTATTTCCACATCAGTTGTTACACCTTTTTATCTGTAAAGAATTTTTTAACAAAGAGAAAAGGAACCATTTCCTTCATCATCAGCCATGTTTCTGACTTCACCGACTCACGGCTTTAACTCGTAGCTTTATCAACACTGGTGTCGTCTGCTGGTGATAACGTTGCTGCTTTATTCAATGGTTTAAAAAAACACTTTGTTTCCCGTACACTGTCTGAACCGCGGGCCGCAGGTTTGGCCCATAAATGTTGTTGATCGTCCTTGAACATTTCATACAGAGTGAATGGAGTTCAAACAAATACTGTCTTTAAAATCAATGTCTTTAAACTTTAAGTGCTGTGAACTCCGCGTGTACACAGCGAGTACCGTGTACTTTGTTATACCTGACTGTCAGAGTAACTGGTTTTTTCTAACCCAGTGAGTATTTCGTCATCTCGGCCAATATCGTGTTTCCTGTTGTCAATAAAAGACGAAGGACATGACGGCAGTTTTCTGAGTGTCTTTATTTCACTGCTCATGTGACGCTGCTGGACCTATGGAGAAACAGCTACATTAGTGTGGGGGCGGGGCCTGAAGACAGAGGACACACTGGTGTATTCTGATACAGCATCATGTCTGTGGAGAAAACAACCGCAGTTTGGACCACGGGTCAGACCAGTGGTTCTCAAAGTAGGGGGTTAGGCCCACCTCAGGGGCACAGAGTGATTACACAACATTTGTTCTACTTTATTTTAACAGCAGCGTTCTTCCCCCGATAGTCCTGATCATCCAAAGGGGGCGCTGCAGACAATGGTGATGGTATTTTTTTTTTTTGCATAAATGTTTGTGGTGAGATTTACAAGAACAGTTTTCAAATGGTGAGATTTACAAGAACGGTTTTCAAACTATGCATCCCACCAACTGTACACAGACCCCTTTTTAGGGGTTGTTTTTTTCTTGCCTTAAAATGAAAGGTTCAAATATTCTAATAAGTTTTTTTTCTTGCCTTAAAATGAAAGGTTCAAATATATTAATAAGTTTTAGCTCCAAATCACACCTTCAACACTAGGGGTGCAAGAAAATATCCAGGGGCAAAACAGGAAATAAACCCTTCTCAGCTGCACGTGTTTTCTTTAAGGTAGTCATTAATAATCGTTGTATTTTGACCACAGTGTTGATGATGATGAAGATGATGATGAAGATGATGATGGACTTACTGTTGTTGCAGCCAACGGTGCAGCCAGAATCTGCAGCAGAGCAAATTATTGCTGCACATGAGAAGTGAATCTGTGGGAGGAAGAAAAGATGGAGTGAAGATGGAGTGAAGTGAAGGTTCACGTCCGTCTGAGTCTTTACAGTTTAGTCCACTGTGTTAAACCTCAGGCACCTCTGCGTCACTGGGGGGGGAGTATTCTCCTTCGGCCGTGTGAGAGGGACTTTCTGGAGTCGGGAACAGGAAGTTGGAGATTGTAATCCTCCGGATGTGGTTGGTGGAAGGAAGTAGACGCGAGTCAGACGATGAAGAGCAGCTGAGACGGGAGTTTCAAGGATTAATGAGAGGAAAAAAAAAAGAAAAAAAAACCTCGTCTGTTTGAACACATACGTACGTGTCATAGATGGGAATCCATGTTGGACGTGGAGCCGGAGAAACGGCCAGGCAGGACTGAACCAGCAGGACCAGGTCAGGGTCTGGAGGGTCCAACAGTCTGACCTCTAGATGAAGAGGTCTGCCCTGGATCAGACTGAGAGGAAGAGGAGCCTCAGGGTAGAAGCTGCTGAAGAGTTC